GAGGGAGGGAGGGAGGGAGAGAGAGAGAGAGAGAGGGAGAGATTTGATGATATTAGTATTAAATTGATATTGGTATTGTACCTTTTCCTCTAGCGATCTTTTCAAGGTGGTTACTTTAGTGGAGAGGTCGGTCATACTGGTCTCGTACATTGAGAGCATCTTTGATTTACTTTCCAGATCTTTCTTTAATTGACTCAACTGGTTTTCATAAGTCTCCAATAACTAAAAATAATAAATAAACAAAATAATAAACGCATAAATAATAATAAAAAAATTTAATATTCAAGTCCCCTTACTTCGGGGGTGGAGCTTTCATTCCTGTCTTGGAGTCCAGTTTCAAGGAAAGACTCAACGTCGCTATAATCCAGTCTATCGCTTCTGGTAGAACCTCTTCTAATTAATGCCCCACTGGATACTGACTGGAGGTCTCCTGGATAGCTACCTACAAATGTACATGTACATGTATTAACACAAAAACATTATGGACACTTACATTATGAATGGTACATGTACATGGATATTACATGTACAATTGTACATGTACATGTACATATAGTATATGCATACAGTACATGTATAGTTAGAAGTGATTATGGATGGTATATACATGTACATTCATAATTGGCATTACAAGTACACGATTATAGCTACCTGTGTTAAAACTATGTTTCTCAATGTCTTCTAAAGATCGTGGCCTATCAGTATTGCTTATTCTCCTCTCCCCAATCATTACTGAAGGGGGCGGAGCTTGAGAAGGTAGCCTCGTTAAAGACTCTCCAGAGGTCACTTGACCCAGCGATACTTCAGAAGACGAAAAACTTTCAGTCGAAGACGAGTGACCGACAGGTCTGACATGCTTATCGGCAGAAAGGGCGGAGTTATCGCCTTGCTTTCTAGAAAGAATGCTCCTCTTGGGTTGCTTGGCAACCTCGCCGCTGACAGCTGATTGGTTAGAGATCAAATGACTTGGAGAAGACGAGTTATTAAATATACGTCGAGACGCCTTGGGACTTAGAGAGTGAGCTCTCTGGAGTATCTGAGTGGACTCGGCACTAGGTAACATATTAGGCTGGACTTGAGATACGTTCTCCTTATTTGGAGATGAGAAACTCCGCCCCTTTCCCTCGTCGAGTCCTCCGCTGTCAGAAGGGCTGAGGGTTTCATCAACAGACATGCCCTCTGGGCTGGTTCTACGAACGTACTTCCTTTCAAAAGGTGATGGTGTCTCTGTCCCTCCAGCCATCCCAGTGCTACTAGTGTCACTGGTAGCCGAGCCTATTGAGCTGTTGCTGCTACGCTGATCAATCTTAGGGGGCGTGGCTTCGGTAGGTTGGGCTTGTAAGTCAAGTGATGGGTGTGTCTTTGTTGCTTTTGTGGGCGTGGTCTGCTGACTTGACGTCTGCTTCGGAGATTGTTCTTTTATCGGTGACGTATGTTGATGAGTAGGCGTGGCTTCTTGGTGAGTGGGTGTGGTTTCCTCGTGAGTAGGTGTGGTTACTTTGTGGGTGGGTGTGGTTTCTTCATTCAGTGTTGGTTCCGCTGGTAACTTATTCTCTTGTTTTGCTGACTCATCGCTCCTAGTATCCTCAATGTTACTCGTTAGCGAAGCTGCTTTACGAAGTTGTGAGGGTTTTTGAATTCCGAGTGGTTTCCTAGTCAATAAAGACAGTTTACTAGCACCTCCAGCCCCACCCACCAGTGCATTCCTAGCTCCGCCCACTCCGGGATTTCCAGAACTACTTTCAACACTCTCCTCTCCTTCCTTGGTAGGGGCATGGCCTACAGGTGACTTAAGTTTTGATGGTAATTGTGTTAACTTAGTGAGTTTAGAACCAGAGTTTGATTTTTCTAATTGATGCCCTTCTTCACCCGTACCTTTATTATCTCCAGTGACCGCTGGGCGTGTCAGTTTAGACAAACCACTCACTTTCTCTCCTCCCTTTTCTCCTCCTCCAGTACTTTCAATCGGAGCGGGTGATGATTCCTTTGACGACGTTAAACTCCGACTGATCCCTGATCCAGGCACTGATATTGATACAGGCGCATGATCCGCTGTATTTGATCTCTTGATCCCGTCGTTAGTCGATAAAACTAGTTTACTTTCTTCGGTTTTCGTAAGTTTCTGTAGTCTCGTTGGTCTGGCCAGTCCGGACCTCTCTGTGGGGGTGGAGCGACCGGAAGGCATCGATAGCTTCTTCCTAAGGCCAGGAGATGTTGACTCAGTTATTGAACTATTTGAACGACCTAATTTCGCCGCTGAAGCAACAGAAGAAGAAGATGAGGAGAGTTTTATATCATCGATAGACTCAGAGCTACTCGTAAGACTTGTTGTTCCTGTGGGCGACTTTAGAGATAGAGATGAAGGGCCCCCTGGGGACTTCAATCGACTTCCCTCCGCCCCCTTGGGGGGCTGTAAACTCGTTGGTTTAGCTATGCTGCTAGAAGGAGTCTCGGTGGGCGGAATAACCTCACTGTTACTCCTCTGTCTTTGATCCGTCCCTCCTCCTCCTCCGGACGAAGGCGATACAGTAACTGCCTTGTAAGGTATCCTCCTAGACTGAGCCATTGGGTCTAAACTGGTGGGTATGATACTACCGGCATGACGCCTGGGACCCAACTGCTGCTGTTTGCTACTATTATTATTATTAGCAGCAGAGGAGGTTGTGGTAGGTGGAGGGAATGAGGGTATGCTAGCAGGTGGGGCAGTGGCCACAGGAGTGCTGACAGGGCTTGTATTGACACTAGAAGAATTACTGTTTGATGGACTTGAAGACATACTGGTGCTTATTAAATGAGGGCTCTTTAATTTGGAACCACTACCATCTGATGGACGGACCTATTGCATAAATAATAATAATAAGAGAAAAGAGGATTAAATTTAAAATTATAAATTAGATACAAGTATTAGTATGAAAGTATGGGAATTTTAGTATGGGAATGGGATTATGAGAATGTATTTACAGAGTGCATCATACGAAGGCTTGGAGAGACTGGTCTCAATCTTGAGGAGGAAGGAGAGGGTTGAGCCTCTTCTGATGCTAGGGACAAATAGAAAAAAAAAGAAAGAAGACACAGTTATTATAGAATAGAATATGAGAGCTTCAGACTTGCTTTACCTTTTGGTTTAAATTGTGACAAGCTAAAGAATAATTGTAATATAGCTCTCATGCTTCCCTCACTTATATCTGTAATGAAAACAAAGAGAAGGAGACTGGAGTAGAGGAATGCTTTATGTGGTCACTTAGTGTACAAGTACAAAACCTCAAATCAACCACAAGACATAAAATATAAATTAGCTATTATTACCCTTTGCTGAAAATCCATTGCAATTAATGCCTATCCTTTGCAAGTACATAACACTTGCTTCAATATTCTGTTTCTAAAAAAAGGAGAAGAGAGACAATGACACATGTAATATTCATTCACTATGGGATACAGACAGGCAAAAACACAAAACCAGTTAAACCTGCACTTGCAAGCTAATTATTATTGATAATTAATTATAACTTCTCTTTACGTAATTAGTCCAATAATACACAAACACAGTAAGCAAGAAAAACAAGATGACGTATACACAGACCAGAATGTGAATATATCAATAAACACTCCATCATGTCACAAACAACAATAATACAAGAATTCTGTACACAAGGTACACTACATGCTAGTAGACATGCCTGTTTGTGCATTGAGGGCTTTGGCTTAAATCTGTTCACATTTAGTACTAGGATGTGAGTGACTCCAATTTATCAGAATTAACATTCTTTTTGTAACCGTCTTGAGCAGATTGGCCCAGTGGCAACCAATTGAGTGTAAATTTGGCAATAACGTATATTATGTACATTGTACATGTGTACATGTACATGTGTACATGTACATGCATGTATCTACATGGATTGTGTACATAGGTGTGTGTGTGTCTGTGTGTGTGTGTGTGTCCTCCTCCTCCTCCTTATTGCTCTCACAATAATCCAAACACACAAAGCAAGTGAGCCATGACATCAGACACACATGATAAGACTAATGATGCAAAGATAAAGAGAGTCATAGAGCAACAGAGAGAGAGAGAGGGAGAGGAGGAATTGGAGAATTTAAAATATTGTTATTATTTTTGCCTCACACATATTAGCCCATTACCAAACATGGGCCTAGAGCCAAACCACTAACACACACACTCTCTCTATAGAGATGGAACTAACACACATACAGTAACTAGTGATAGAGAACGAAACACACACACACACACACAGCAGGAGACAGAATTCGCATAGTGCCACACAAGATCAGAGACGAGATAAGAATTATTAAAATTCAATTATTCGAATAGAAACTTAAAGTGAAAATGATGCATATACTGATAATATTAAGAGTGGATAATTCCACTCTTGATAATACTCATATTGATGATAATACTGATACTGATCCTATCAATAATTAATAATACTAACACTGATACTAACACTGATTCTGATTCAAATCAACTTACTCTCTCGCTATCGTTATCAGGCGAACTCAATATGCCAGGAACATCTTCATGGACTAACAAAAAAAGAGAACACAAATAATGAGTTCATAATCATTAATTTATTAATAATACATGTAACTATTATTATAAATGAGGTAAATGCATGTACTTACCAACTGCTTGTATTATTTTAGGTAAGATGAACCCGTCAGGGATATCTTTGTGGAGGTCGTTGACTTGAACGTCAGTTAGTCCTGCCTTCTTGAGCCTGTTGTTGGCCCAATCAGTGTATACCTTTAAAAGATTTAAAAATAATAATAATAACAGAATATTAAGAATATTAATAATAATAGGAATACTATACATGTACAACAAATGTAGTATTATGATAAGTGACAGGTATAACGGTTTTTCTAAACTAACTAAAGGAAAACAAGAGAGAGATACATGTGTAATATTGTTAGAACAATTCTCTTAATGCTACAAAACAGCTGCAGTAAGGAGGCAGAGAATCTTAATAATAATAATTTATTATTATTATTATAAGATAAAGAAGCCAAAAAATCCCCACAAGTATAACCAAACATGACCTGTATGTATAAAATACATGTACATGCATCAAAAGCACATGTACTGTACATGTACACATATATGTAAAAGGGAAAGGGAAAAAATAATTTAACCAAATATAGAGGATAGGTACATTAAAAACACACTCTCTCAGTGTATTCTCTCCTTTCTCTCCCACTCATATTATCAAATGTCTCCCACAACACACTTAGCACTAACTAACCACTGGGAATGATCAGGGGAATAAAGAAGGAAGGAGGAGAGAGAAAGAGAGAGAGAGAGAGAGAGAGAGAGAGAAAGAGGGAGGGAGGGAGGGAGGGAGAGAAAGAAAATAGATGTGTTCACCCAACCACAACTGTTTTTATCCCTCACCCAAATGTTACATAATGCAAACACATTAACATAAAATGACTGAAAAGTAAAAGGATATAATAATAGTAAGATAGTAAGAAAGTTCTGGGCACAAACAAGTCTCATCAAAGACAAGGGCAATACACATCAACACACACAGGATATCCTAATCATGATTGGACTCACATCCTCCTTCTTTTGCCCTCTCTCTCTCACTCCATTCTCTCACATACATGTGTATATATATACACACACACACAGTCTCAGAGACACATAGTCTTAATAATGATGATCTAATTCTTACACAATATTATGTAGACAATAACAAAAGGAAATAATGTTCATGAGTTTTTATGGCAAAACTAATCAATGCAATGGAAAATGGTAGGAGAAAGAGAGAGAGAGAGAGAAAGAGAGAGAGAGAGAGAGAGGGAGACATGAAAGGTTGCAAGAATATGTGCCTGTATGTCTGTCTTCTTCTTTGTGTGAGTGTGTGTGTGGTAAAAATGACAGGAGGCATGTAAAGCTGGGAAAAACAGGGGCCATAGTGCTCTTAATAGTAATCGTATTCATAATTATTAATTATTTAATTGAATGTTGTTACAAATACTGTCAGAGCTAAATGTTATGAAACGTGCAGACAACATAGAATAGGAATCACCTACGCATGCACAATGCTTTTATTGTTATTATGACTATATATTCCAAAATTTTATTCCAAAATATAATACAGGACACAGGTGTGTTTACAATTTAAAGTGCAGTAGTGTCAAGCAAAGACAGTTTCACAATATTTCATGTACACACATATAAAATATACAAATACATAGACTGAAAGGGAGAAGAGAATAAAGGGACGATGGCTGGTTTTCGAAATAAGAGAGGGGAAGATGTAAGAGGCAGCGATTATATCGATGATCTTACCTTCCTTTGATCTGTTTTAACAGCAGCAATACGGGACGTCATTTTTACAGAAACACGCTAGTCTCAGTCTCTATCCTGAACCGTTGCTGTATTTCTCAGTCGAATAAAATATCTCTCCAAACAGCTACAAACTTCTTTATGGCTATAATCCCATGCAAGAGCTCGCCTTATTACCAAATCTGCGAAGAAAGGAGAAATATACGTGTAGAATATGCGGAGAGGAACGGACCTCGGTTTAAAGGTGTGGTTAGTTTAGTTCAGCCACGCCTTCCAATTTTGCTGCAGGTAGCCACACCTCCACAAGAATAAGGTGTCATTTATCGTATGATCTTCAGCTGAGCTAAGGCGCTATTATAGCAAGCAAAGCAGCAACGAAAATGGCCAGGATAATTCTAATTGCTTGTCTCTTTCACTTTATATTCGCTTCCACTCCTCCCGAGGCAAAATACACCCCAGTAAGAAGCAATATTAAAATAAGAATAAACCTTAATAATTAATTTTCTAATTATTTTCTAATTAGTTGCAAATGATAACGAGCGCTGGGTATCCTGGTGAAAGCCATAGCGTCACTACAAGAGATGGATACGTGCTAGGACTTCAAAGAATTTCTTATGGAAGGACTGGGAAAACAAGTAAAAATAAAAATTGTCATTACACAATTCAATAATCATGAATAATTATTAAACATTTTAGATGCTACCCGCCCTGTCATATTCCTCCAGCATGGACTCCTTTGTGCTAGCACTAACTGGATAACCAACGGCCCCAGTGACAGTTTGGGTTTCATTTTGGCTGATGCAGGCTTTGATGTGTGGCTTGGTAATGTACGCGGCAACACTTACTCCAGGGAACATGTGAAGTATAACCCAGACAAGGATAAAGAGTTTTGGGATTTTAGGTATGACAATGATTTATTATTATTAGCGTTGTTATTATTATTATTTATTATTATTATTAGCGTTAATATTATTATTATTATCATGCAAAGGTGTCAATCAGATTGAATTTATCGCACCCTTTATTTACCTAGTTTTGATGAACATGCCCTCATCGACCTACCCACAATGATTGATTATGCCCTATCCGTATCAGGGCAGAATAGCACGTACTACGTTGGACACTCTCAGGGTACTATGATGGGGTTTGCTGGGTTCTCTTCTAATGCAACACTCGCCTCCAAAATACGAGGATTCTTTGCCTTGGCTCCAGTATCAACCGTCAAAGACATTGAAGGAATGTTTGCCTATATTGCAAAAATTTACAAAGTTTTAGTAGTAAGTTGATATCAATATTTTAAAGCCTAATCGAAAAATTAAAAATGTAGAAATATATCAAATATTTAATATTAGTTTTCTCATCAATCTTCTTTTTTTCCCTCAGCCATTTTTCAGTGTTACCGGCGTCGGAGAGTTTGTACCTAACAAGAGTATCATAGACAAAGCCGGTGAGCTTTTTTGCTTTTCTAAAATCGAAGAAGTGTGTGGAAACGTGCTCTTCCTGATATGTGGATTTGATGAGAAAAACCTCAACGATGTAAGAGGAATATAATGACAATAAATGTCAAGCTTTCAAATTTCCATTCCGATACCTAGAGTCTCATTCCCGTGTATCTTGGACACACACCAGCTGGGACTTCAGTTCAAAATGTGGTCCACTGGGCACAAGTAAGAATGTCATCGTTGGAAAAGTACATGCTCATCTTCCCCCCCTCTCTCTCCCCTCCCTCAGATGGTTAAATCTGGTGCATTTCAAATGTATGACTATGGCTCAGCTTCTGCTAACAAAGAGCATTACAATGGAAATGTAAGCACATCACACATGTACATCAATCAATTGTGCTTCTCTTCCCCCCCCCTCATCTTTTATCCTCTTATTCTTATCGCCACTTCTCTCCTCTTTCTTTCCAGTCTACTCCTCCGCTTTACAATCTATCCCAGTTTCCTGTACCCACGTACCTATTCACCGGTAATAAGGACTGGCTGGCTGACCCGACTGATGTTAAAGGATTGATTAATAAACTGAATACAACCTCCAATTCGCTGAAAGGCGTCACTAATATACCCTATTATGAACACTTGGATTTCATATGGGGAATAGATGCTGCTGAGAAGGTCTATAAAGTTATCATTAGCTATATTAATGGTAGTAATTAATTAATTATTAATTAATTAATTAATTATCATCCTGCTAGCAACTCTCTCTTAATTATAATTATTGTGTGTTTATTTTTAATGATTTTTATGGCTAATATATAAAGAGAAAAAATGAAAAAAAAACATGTAACAAGAATAAATGAAAGTAGTACACCAATAAAGAAATATTACACAAAATAATTTATTATTGGTAGGCGTGATTACTTATGGGCGTGGCCAGGTCACCTAATATTTTCAAAATGTCCGACGACTTTACATTTAATAAAACTATAGTCTTGTTTAGCTGAGCAATGGACTTGTGCCTAATGGTAATTAATATTCATAGTTTAAGCCCCTCCCCCATTGGTAACTCACCATTCGGTTATTTCAGTATCAGAGCTCTGAGTCAGTATACTAGCTCCTCTTGTTAGTAAAGATATTGTGACATTATGTAGAAACTATTCAGAGGAATAAGGAACAAAAGACAAAGCGTAGCATAAGGGCATCAATATGTATCAGAAAATGTAATAAAAATTGGGGGTGATTTCAGAGCCACTTTTTGGAAAAAACCATGGGCTATAGCCTTGGGTATTTTTCAGAAATCGGCTCATTTTTTTAAATGGCCGTAACTCAAAAAATTTAAGTCGGAATCAGCTCAAACTTTCTACATTGCATAAGAGCATCAATATGCATCAGAAAATGTAATAAAAATTGGGGGTGACTTTGGAGCCATTTTTTGGAAAAAACCACGGGCTATAGCCTTGGGTATTTTTCAGAAATTGGCTCATTTTTAAAATGGCCGTAACTCAATAAATTTAAGCCGGAATCAGCTCAAACTTTCTACATAGCATAAGGACATCAATGTGTATCAGAAAATGTAATAAAATTTGGGGGTGATTTGGGAGCCATTTTTTGGAAAAAACCATGGGCTATAGCCTTGGGTATTTTTCAGAAATTGGCTCATTTTTTAAAATGGCCATAACTCAAAAAATTGAAGTCAGAATCAGCTCAAACTTTCTACATTGCATAAGGACATCAATATGTATCAGAAAATGTAATAAAAATTGGGAGTGATTTCGGAGCCATTTTTGGAAAAAACCATGGGCTATAGTACAGGGTATTTTTCAGAAATTGGTTTGCCATGCATTTAATTCAAGTGAGGAGTACATTAATATGTACAAATGGAATAAAAATGATGCATAGTACACAGATTAAACATTTCAGTTAGATATTCTTACTGGATTCTCTGATATCTTGCTATTAAATGAAGCAGTGATGAACTTTAAATGTACATTAATATCATTTAGAGACAACTTTAATATTATCCCATTAATTGGAGGTAACAGCTCAGGCAGTACCTAAAAACAATAATCGAGGATAATAATTAATGAATATGTGAAGTTGACCTTATCAACCGAGTCTTTCTTAATAATACTATAAATGTTAGTTGTAATGGACTGTAGGACTATGTTACCATGCAACTGAATAGAGAAAAGCAAAAAAAGGAATAAAATATAAGATCAGTGAATGGCTATTTTAAGAAACCTCATTAAGGAATGGAAGAATCCTTTGAACAACCCTCTTCCCTTTTCTGAAGTGTAACATTTGATGAAAGAATGTTGCACTTTCCCTAAAAATAAACAACAACCTTCCTCAATTACTCCCTCCCCTCTCTCTCCCTCCCTCCTTCCCTACCTCTCTCTCTCTCTCTCTCACTTTATGACTGCTCCATTTTCATCCACTTCCAATTTCAATAATTTAAATATCTGACTGCTCGCATCTTCTTCGGGCGAGACCTCATTGTCCTCCAGTTTAATCAATAGATTATAGAGCTAAAAAAATAAACAAACAAACAAAAAAATTAACACAAACAATTCAAGGTCCATACCTCTTCAATGTACATCAGTATAAGCCTCTTCTTACTCCCACTCATTACAGTACTACTGGTATTGTCTCTTTTATTAATTTCACTCGAGAGTCCAACATCAATGCTCCTTCTGGGAGCAGTGACTGAGCTAACACTTAACTATATAATCGATAAAAAAATTATAATAATAGTTTCGGCTCTTTTAATTGCTTTTCGTTATAAAATGGATATTACTTTTCCGAGAGTGTTTTCAAATTCAACTTTGCTTCTCTTCTTGTCGTCTTTACTGACAGGCGGTGGTAATGTCATGTCGTCCATCTTGTTATCAGAAGAAACCACACCCTCTCCTTTGATCTGTTCCTGAAACTTCTTCTGGACATAACGCTATAAAGAGAGAGAGAGAGAGAGAGAGACGCTTAAGATTATAAGAAGTCTTTCAAAAAAGGAAGAATAAAATTAACCCAAACAAACTGTAAAAAGGCTTGAATAAATGAAAAAAAAAATAATAATAATAATGATAATAATAACCTGATAATAATAGTCCTCAATCAGTGGGCTGGTATTATGGAGCTGAAGGAGCTGGACTTTAATGACCCATTCCTTCTCTTTCGTGCTCATAAACCCACTCCCGTCTGGTTTTAAATCGGACAACATCTCGTGCATTTTTGAAGGATATCGTGGAGGAGCTGGAGGAGCAATGAAAGGCATTGGACCATGAGGAGGAGGTGGGTGTGGATGTGGCCCCATATATGGTCTATAGGGGATCATGTGGGGATGAGGAGGATAACCCCCTAATTAAAATAACGATATTAAAAAATTAAATGTACGTAAAATAATAATAATAATTTACTGGGAATTAAATGAGGGGGCGGTCCCATTAGTGGCACGTTTGGAGGGAGTGGTCCTCTTATCATTGGTGGGTGTGGCTAAACATTAATTTATGAATGAATAATTATTGTTAGAAAAATTACAAATTACCGGCGGTAATAAGACTCTGTGTGGTGGGCCAGGTGGGTGTGGGGGCCTGCCCATCGGGAGAGGGCCACGATAACTAGATATTGAATAATAATAATAATAATAATAATAATAATAATAATAATAATAATAATAATAATAATAATAATAATGATAATAATAATAATAATCCATGTAATATCAGTGTAAATTTCTGTGGCATAAATATTTTGCAAATTGCCATCAAAATGGCATTTGCGGATTTTATTTTTGCAAATTCACAATGCCTTTTAATCTAAATAGGCCAAAAAATTATGTACCAAGATTTCAAGAATTAAATTTCTGCGATTTTCCCAAATCCGTAAAAATAGCAAAAAATCTGGGCGACAAAAAATTCTAGCTATACGGTGATAATAATACGACTTACTACATCATAGGATGTCTGATATAGACAGGATGATGAGGTAGAGGAGAGTGGCCAGGAGGAGGTGGAGGATGATGATAAACGTTACTAGGAGAAGAGGAGAGGTGTGGATGGGAAGGAGAGTGAGCAGGGTGAGGTGAGCTGAGGGAGGGAGAGGAGGAAGGAGGAGGAGGAGAAGGAGACATTGAAGACGACAGAAAATCTTTCTCTAGATCCTCGACTGTTCTCATCTTGGGAACGACTTTTGGGCTACTAAAAGGCTGAGAGAGGATAATGGTAGCTTCATGAAAAGAAACCATACTTACCTTCCGACCTGGAGAAGGTAATTCAGGAGAGCTCCATATGTTAAGGGTCGATGGGGAAGGAGAGCCAGCAGGGAGTGCTGGAGTGTCCCATAGATCCTTTAGCTTTATGTCGTGGAATTTTGATAATACCTTAGCCTAATGTTGATTGGATTATTATAACATAAAATGGGTGTACTGCATTTCAAATGATGGTGATGATCATTATAGCAATGAAGTATACTAAATTTAGAATTGTGAATATTTAACATTAGGATAATAGTAAGTAAAATTTCCAAAAACAACTTTTCCATTCTGAACCAAAATGAAAACTAGCCAATTCACTATACTATTATAACGTCTTTACTATTATTATTTATTTATTTATCTATTTATTTTTTAACTACCTCTTCATCCCGCTCTTCATCTGGTTGACTAGTAGTGAGTTTGTGTTTTTCTGGTTCAACATTAGATTCATGATACGACTCCCAATCACCTTCTGTAAGAAAAGGAAAGAATATACATACATTTAAATAAATAAATATACTATAATTAACAATAGTATTGTACTACACTCACCTACTGCTCCATTTCCAAATGTTTCATCATTTAATTCATCAATTGCATCATCTTCATTAAACTGACTCTCCATGGTCTAGAAAAAGGAGGTACAAGTAGGAGTAGGATGATACTCTTATTTTCTGATTTCCAAAGGCTAGTATAAACCCTCGTCTCTTTTCCCTTACCAAAGTATCTTTATTATTCTCTCTGCTCATCTCTTCAATGTTCCTCCAGCTAATTTACAACACGCAGCGCAGGAAGAGCATGGAACCCATTAAAAAGGTGTGTCCCAATTTAACCACGCCCGCTTGAAATTTAAAAAATAATGACCTCGCAAACAGAATCGAGCATATTTTTACTGAATAATTTATTATTAATTTATATTATACATGTTATAATAATTATTACAGATAGTAAGTGATGAATTCCATTTAAAGGGTGCAGTAATTATTGTCAAAGTGTAATAACTAATTTCTTGCACTTAGTTTCCTACTGTTAGCCCCGCCCCCAGCCCCACCTCCGCCTCCTCCTCCTCCTCTTCCTCTTGTAGATTGCAATCGTCCTGTACTGATTGACGACGATACTGTCTTCTTGTGGGTTGGGCCACTTGAAGCCCCACCCATAGCCCCACCCGTTTTCTTTGATGTCATCAATGGCATTCGATTGGCTGATGTTGAACGAGGTAGACTAGCACTTTTCATTTGTACGGGAGTTGGACTTTTATTCAGACGTCCTTTGGCATCTCCTCCTCCTCCTCCTCCTCCTGTGGTTGATGGGGGCGTGTCTTTATCTGATATTGATATGGTTGGTGGAGAAGTATCAGAAGTCTTATGAGAGCTAGAGTGAGGATGAGGGGGAGGAGAGTCATCAGCTAGCATCATAAGAGGATCGATCCTTTTACGAACAGCTCCACCCTGAAAGGAGAGAGAGGAGAGAGAGAGAGGGGGAGAGGGAGAGAGAGGGAGGGAGGGAGAGAGAGGGAGGGAGGGAGAGAGAGGGACGGAGGGAGAGAGAGGGAGGGAGGGAGAGAGAGGGAGAGGGAGAGAGAGAGAGAGAGAGAGTGAAAGGGTGATAAACATGTACAGTAGACAGTAGTTCTTACTGTTATCCACGAATCCTCCAGTACTTGTCTAGCTGTCATTCTATTGATAGTACTAACGTTTAACATGCCACGGACTAACTCCTTTGCTGTATCATAATGCATGCAGGGTATGAATGAAAAAGGAAGAAAATTATAGCAAAATAAAATTAAATATATGGTAGTTAATTGTTTTGCAGTTACATACCTCCATCACTAATGCTGATCCATTCTGGCTCTTTAAATTTTAAAGCTCCACACATTATCTGCTCCTCTAACAGCGGGGCAGTCTCTGCATTGAAGGGCATACGGCCACATAAACTATAAAGTAGAGGGAGGAATAGTTTAATACGTGCAGTCATAAAATGAGTAACTCACAGTGCATACATTATCACACCCATGCTCCAAACGTCACACAGTTTGCTGTATTCGTGTTTATTGTTCAATACTTCTGGAGCTGCACCATGTATACATCATAATACGTACATGTGAGAAAGAGAATGAGAACAGTAACTACATGCCAGATTACAATGATATCAAAATAAACAAACTTATGATGTCATAATATTATAGTACAATAGTTGCATTGACGTCATGATCACATGACTATCATATGCTCACCCATGTAGTATAGGGTGCCACACCTACTGGACATCAGGTCATCACATCCAGGTAACCCTTTCATATGTGACAGACCAAAATCAGTTACCTAATTAGAATAAAGTATAAAAATTTTGCTTCAACTCTCACACTCTTTTTTCCCTTTCTCTCTCTCTCTCCTTCCCCTTTACTTTTATATTAAATGGTGCATCATTAATGCAAGAGGTTGATAATAATATATTTTCTAGTTTAAGGTCCCTGTGTACCATATCTATACAACAATGAAGATAATGTTTTATACATGTACATGTACATGTACCCCAGTACCTTTATCATGCATGTACACAACAGCTTCTGCTAGCTGCTTCATAATGACTTTCACCTCCTAATTATTATGACTATAATAATAGTTGATTTTTGATAGATTATTACATTTTCTTTAAATGATTTCTTTTCTTTTAATATATCGGATAATTCTCCTCCTCTACATAGCTCTAACACCATGAACACTTTCTGTTGGCATAGAATGAGAGAGAGAGGGAGAGAGAGAGAGAGAGAGAGAGAGAGAGAGAGAGAGAGAGAGAGAGAGAGAGAGAGAGAGAGAGAGAGAGAGAGAGAGAGAGAGAGAGAGAGAGAGAGAGAGAGAGAGAGAGAGAGAGAGAGAGAGAAAACGAAGCATTACAATTTTAGCAAGAGTACTTAAGTATTGTTATAATTGGCAAAAATTCTTTATAATACAAAACTGATAAATTATGACACCATCAACACCAACCAATGTGGGAATATTGTCAAGTTGATTATTAATTGTATAACAACACTTCCTTCCATTTCTCACCATTTTAACATGGAAAAACCTGCACTGCATTAGTATGGGGACTACATTACTAGCATACTACATCACTTATAGCATAAATCAATGCAGATATCAATCATAAAATTACAGATGATGATTTACAATAATCATTACTAGCCTTACTTTTGGAGTTTCGAAAACTTCTACCAACTTAATAATATGAGGATGATCAACGTGATTGAGTACTTGTATTTCCCTCTCGAGAAGCTGTATGGAGACACTCCCAGGCTATCAGGAAATTTAAAAAATGCTACTATCATTATTATCACTACTTTGTCTTTGTGGACCATTTTAATTGCGAATTTCTCTTTAGAGTTTACAGAAGTTGCTTCCCAGACTACACCAAAGGCACCCTTTCCAAGCATCTCACCAAGACTATAGTCTACCTAGTGATAGGAATAATACAGGGCTTGTGTGAAAAATTTGCTGCATTTTACTTCAATGCCAGAGTCATCTTCGATCCTTGTTCTTGGTCTGTTCCTAGGCGAATGGAGGTGACCAGCCATTACAGAAGAATGCTTAGAGAGACAGTAAAGCTGCAGAGGGTCCTTCCCTTTCTCCTTTTCTTGCAACAACCTTTAATTTTTGCAGCAACTAAAGGAGACAGCTGTGTGGAGAGAGTTGTTTGTTTACATCACCACGCCCATTATCGGTCACGCCCGTATAAGTATCTAGTAAACCAGTCCTTCGCCAAACACAGTAATCCTCCGTGGACTCCAGTTTATTGAAACTCCGCCTACACAATGTAACCACGCCCATAATGTGAGGGTCACTCGTGAATATAAATCAGCTTGTACACACATACACGCGCTGCCTGAAGATCTCTTTTCCCTCTCCTACTTCCCTCTCCTTCCCTCACCTCTTGTTCCTGTCCTCCTCTCACCACCTGTACTGTTGACTGTTCCTCAACAACAAATCCTTTAGCCTGTGGAGAGGGACCCGCTAATAAGCGGCCCGTGATAACAACAAAAATGATGGTAAGTGACCCATTACTACAATAATACATAGATATACACGTACTCTCATTGGCTACGGTTGCATTTAGAAGCCCTCAGCCATGATTGCAAGCTCACCTAGTTGTTACATAATGCAGGCTCTAATGTGTTCACTCTGCTGTATGTACATTCTATGTTGTGTGTGAGCAAGGTCCTAATGAGGTCCTAATTTGTTATTTTTGAGATGCGTTTGCTTGTTTTGTTTTTGTTAATACTCTGCATAATATTTGTTACTAATATCGAGTAATTTGTAAACTATTATGACGATAATTAATAGTAATTTATTTGCGTAATTCTACCCTTTCTCTCTCTTTACCATGTGTTCCTCTAATCTCACCCTCCTCTCTCTCTCTCTTAATTTTTTGTATACGTACGTACGTTATACATTTGGGTGCTATACTCATTACTGTCGTCATGACAACTGTTATGCCACTTGCTAGCTCAAT